GGGGCTCCCGAGACTACGAGGACCACCTGTACGTCAACACGCAGGGTCTGGACGGCCCCGAGCCGCTGCAGCCCGAGGACAGCCCCCAGAGGGACCTGTTCGACATGCGTACGTGGGGGCCAGCCAGCCTGAGGGGCGGTGCCCACCCAGCCCTCTCCCCTGGGAGAAGTCATGGGGTCGCGGGGGGGTGGGGTGGGGGGGAGCCTGTTTCCGGTGGTAGGATAGGGAAGTCTTGGCGGCTCCTCCTCCGGGGGACTCTAGTCGGGGGCGGGGGTCGGGGGTAACCCAGCTTCCTCTCTGTGGGCGTCCCCAGTGTGACTGGAGGGGCCCAGTTCATAGCTTGAAAGAGCGGCTGTGTAGCGGGGGCGATTCAGGCTCTGTTCTCTGTGGGACGCCTCAGTCTTAGGGGTGGGGGTCGCCACCCCCCCCATCTCTAGGTCTCCCCAGTCTGATGAGGGAATGTAAAACTCCCTGCTCATGGGACTCCATGGTCTGGGGAGGAGGCCCCAGCCCCTTCCGATGAAGCGCAGTCTCGTGGGGGAGGGACCATTTGCTCTCTGGGGTCCCCCAGCCTGAGGAGGGAGGCTTGACACACATCTTGAAAGCGCGACCAGCTGAGGGTGGAGCCCCCTCCTCCTTCCCTCTGGGATGCCCCAGCCAGAGGCCGAGCCGAGGAGGCTTGTGTCCAAAATGCGCTCTTCCTGAGGGGCGGGTATAGCTCAGTGGTAGAGTGCGTGCTTAGTATGCATGAGGTCCTGGGTTCGATCCCTGGTACCTCCATTCAAGAAAAAACAACAACAAAATTCGTCCCTTCTTTCCCACAACACCAATTCCGTCCCCTTCCACAAGCACCGTGGGTGTGTTGGCTCTGTGCTGGCCCAGGCAGGGCCATCTCCCTCCCCCAGGGCACCTCCCTAGGTGGAGGTCCCCGAGGAGCTCCCAAGCCAGCTGGAAACCTTCCTTCAGCAAGAGTGCAAAGCCCCTTCCCCGCCATCTGACAGCTCGATTTCTTGGTACTGCAGTAGTGACATGACAAGGTCTGATGCCCCTTAGGTGCCCGGTCAGTGCTGCCCAGTTCAGAGGGTGAGTCCTGGGCAAACCCCTGGAGCAGAGCCCCCAGCCCAGGCCCCTCTTTCCCCGAGGAGGCAGCTGCCCGCCTGGCTTCCCGCACGTTCCTCGCCCGCAGGACCCTTTGAGGATGCCCTGAGGCTGCATGAGTGCTCCGTTGTTGCGGCGGGCACTGCGGCAGCCCCCCTCCCGGTGGAGGACCAGTGGCCCAGCCCCCCGACCCGCCGAGCCCCCATCGCCCCCACCGAGGAGCAGCTGCGGCAGGAGCCCTGGTACCACGGCCAGATGAGCCGTCGGGCGGCCGAGAAACTGCTTCGAGCCGACGGGGACTTCCTCGTGCGCGACAGTGTCACCAACCCCGGACAGTACGTCCTCACTGGCATGCACGCGGGGCAGCCCAAGCACCTGCTGCTGGTGGACCCTGAGGGCGTGGTAAGGTGGGCGCGGGGGAGGGGCCCCTCCTCCTCTCCGCAGGAGGCCCAGGGCGCGGGGCGGCGGGGCGGGGCGGCTGGAGGTTGGGGAAGGAGGTCGTGGACGGGGTCGAAGGAAGGGTCCAAGGGACGGCCGTTAGG